CTACAGAGGTAGTTGCTATCATTTGCTTTACTGGCACCTGTTGTTCAGATAATACAACACAGTCATCATCATCATCATCATCATCATCAATTTCAAAATGTTTAATTTCTTTTTGTTCTAGTTTAACTAAAGTAGATTCATTTAATTTGGTAACATTTGTACCACTTGTATTACTGTTGTCATTTAATGGACTAATGTTACAACGTGAATTGTGAGGATCTTTTAATGAATTTAAATCCATTTTAGTTTCTGCGTTTTTATCAGATTAACAATCATTTATTTCTTCAATATGATTACCATATTATAACCTGAAATATATTTTAAACTGATTAAAATTTCTCTAATAAATATTGTATGGTTAAACATAAAGTTTGTTCAATTATGAACAACAACTATATATTACTAGAACAGATTATATACACTAAAACAAAAAAAGATTCTACAAAATAATTAATTGTATTAACTTATAAATCATTGCTTAAAAAACATGTTATATAGGTGCCTACTCTAGTAATTATAACTATTATATTATCATTTTTAATCAATTATAAAAAAAAGAATATCTAGTATGAGTAAAAGTAATCTCAATTCCAACTTGAGTGAATAGAGTAAAATAATTTATGGTGTAATTCTAGATAAAATGTTAATTTATAAATACAAACTAACTTATGTATACATTGCTATTTAGATTATTGAACACATGAAAAAAAAATTATTTAGTGGTCACTAAAATAAATAATTTAATATACCTAAAGTTCTTTAATACATATTTAATTTAAAATTTTCACTGTTAAAATGTATAAATTAACAAATTATTTATAATAAAATTATATTAGGAATATACACACAAAATTAATATTAATGCTGTTGAATATTGGTATAATAATCAGTGATTGAATCAGAAAATATAAGAAGAGGGAAAAATGTGCATAACCTACTTGAATATTTAAATGACTTATTGATTAGAATATAATTAGAAGAAGCACCGTTGTCATAAATTTGCATTTTTTATTTGAGAATTTTTGATTAAAAAAAAAATAAATCTACACTGCATCTATTTATAAAAATATATAATGTTAGGTACGCCCTTAATAGAAAATATATAGTTTTTTGAGATTATTGAGATATCAAAGTAATCTTGATGTCACAATAATTGACAAGATAAATTCTAATCTGATAGGTGTAGAAATACAAAAAGATCTATGTGATAAATGATTTCTGAATTATATTACTTATTATTTAAGTTAGAAAGACCTTAAGAACTATAAAAAAAAGTTTGTAAATATTCCTTTAAAACAATCAAATATAGTATCATAATATACATTGGGAAATTGTAATATTCATAATTAATTTTAAAATATAAAATATATATATGCATTTTAATAGAAATTTCATGTTTCATAATTGAATATTTGAATGTGTTGTGACCAACAAACACTAACCTACCTATTGATTATAGGTAAATGCTTATTGGTATGCGTTAAAGCATAAATAATATGTTCATGCTATGTAAAAGAACATAATCCAATAAAAAATAAAAATTTATAAAATGTTCTTTGAAATCTAAAATTTAAAAAAATGAACAACAATGTATAAATTTACAAAAATATGTTAAATTAAATCTAGTATAACTACCTATATGTAATACTACCAAATAGGTTTATGAAGCTGTAAGCATGACTAAAAGAAAAAAATATGTAAGTCATAACGAGGTTTGTAAATTTACCTTGTTTATATAATTTTTATAAAAAACACAGTTAATGTACTGGAAAACAAGCAGTAGGTATTAGTGGATTTAAAACTAAATTTAATGAAGAATATCACATAAGATTTTATTTTTTTTTTTAAAGGATAAATGTCATTTAACGAAAAACCTAGGACCATTAATATTATACTAAGAAAATGTTAAACTTTTTTTTTTTAATTTAAATTATATTTATGTTGTAAATAATTTTATTTGAAACACAAAAAAAATTTACATCGTTGATTATCTTATGTATTATTTAGCATCATTGGTTTTTCAAGCAAGATATTCATCATAAAAATAAATTTTATTATTATAGCTTATATAGAGTAAGTGCAGTACAGGTATTATAAGAATATTATTTCTAAGATAGAGACCACATATAGGCTTTTCAATTATTAATTTATTGATTAAAACATTGTACACCATGTCATCATCATCTCTTTACAAGCTAAATAGGTGTATAATAAGTAATTATCTGTGATAAATGATAAATTAAGAATGAAGGATGATATGGTAGGAAATCTCACATTAGAGACACATAGTAGCTTTACATTCATACATAGATATTATAAGTTATTATTTATATTTTCAATTACTATTACTATTTTGTTTATTAATAATGCTTAAACATGTACATTTGAATGCGAGTTTAAAAAAGAAATTAAAAACACAACATATTGACAAAGAAAAATTACTCTAGTGAATATTTATTTTATTTTTTTTTTTTTAATAGATGCTCTTGAAAATAAACCATACTTAAGTATGACTGTAAAATTCACAACTGCGGAAAAAACTGATAACTAGTCTAACCAAGAACATATTTAATAATAATTGATATTTTTTATCTGAAATAATGTTCGATTGTGCTGAGCATTATATTTTTTATATCATCTTATCTCTAAAACTAACCAAAATTATATAAGTATAAATTAACTTAACTATTTAAGAATAAGTGCTATGAAACTCATTAATAAATAAGTAACCGCCATACACAAGCACCCTTAATAAAAGTCTCATACACTAACAAACCTTGCGTTTACATCATTATATTATAAATATAATGTAAGTAACAAAATTATTGATAAACACTACATTTATTTACTTTTTTTACTTTTATTTAATTTACAGCTAAAATATCAATTATAACTATGATTTATATTTAAGTATAAAAAACCTTACATTTACTAACAAACAAAATATTATTTTTTGTTAATAAAAGTAAGTATTATAAAATGTTAAATAACATAAAAACTGAATTATAATCTGTTAGTTGACCAACAGAAGAGTTCTGAGACATTTTTATTTTATAGCAACAATTAGTGCTCATAAATTATCTGAGTAAATGTGAGTTAAAGATATAATCCATAATATATATCACATATAAGTATAAGACGTGTGGTATGATAATTTATACTCATTTTTTATTAATATTATTCATTATTATATACCTTCAACAACTTCGGAATTCCACTGATCATATCAGCACATCGAAACAATTTCAGCATCAATAAATAAACTGTCCGAGGAACCAGAAGGCTTACGTGTCTTCGAGATCAATTAATTAATCAAGTAAATAAGTAATATTCATCAATGGAAAATACAGTATGAAAGCATGAGAAACGAATCGAACTCAAGCGACACAACGGATAAAGAAAATGTATTTAGTACACCTGGTAAACACTAAACAGCAAACAGCTACTGCTTACTGTACCCGTATCGATTGCCTTCGAGCAAGTTGCTGATTGTTGTTTTGTAATAAATTCGTTTCCTCCATGACCGAGAATCTGTTTGGAGGTAGAACGCATACCATATTACCGCCATAACAATACATAACCGATTCGAATAGTTGAGTAATGTAGTTTTAGCACCTCTGTAATACTTGTAGTGCAAAATTGTGCGGGGCCTCAAATAATTTGATAAATATTAATGATAGTTATCTAAATGTTAATTACATTAACAAAAACCAACATTTATTCGTATTTCGTATATACAAATTGTGTATTTGCGTATGAGTAGATATGACACAAATTGATTTATTATTTTAAAAATATATACCTAGGTAATACCATATTACACATACATTTTTTCAAGCGTTTTTCGCTGCAAAAATCCATTATGACAGTAAAGCTTAAAAAATCGACATTATTATATTCGATAGGTACTGATAAAAATTAAGAGCCAGGTCATATACTTTGTGGCACTTGTGCACTGATAGAGTACTTCTCAAATAATTACCTTCATTTAATACATTTTACAAATCATGGCAACAATTTTTAATAAACTCATCATCTTGATGTTTAAGTTTTCCAATGCTAAACAAAATCCCAGAGTTTTGGTATTCAAATGTGATAAACAAAAAGTGATTTTTACCTTTTTATTTGATGGTCTGATCTCAAATAATTGTAAAAAAAAAAAAAAAAAGGAAGTAGGTAACCGCTCTGCTTATTCTATAGTATAAGTGTTAAGTGAATTTCATCGAGTCAGTTGAGAAATAAGTCATTAAAACGTATGTGTTAAATTTGAATTCAATGATAATAAAAACGATTCTGAGCGTAAAACAGCCTATTGCTTATATTGCTAAGAATAGGCTAGTTTTTTTTTTAATGCATTGACTTATACTCGATATAAGATTATAAAATTTTAAATTAGTAATTACCTGTCTTATGTTATAATCACGGATAAAATCTGCAATATAGAGCTAAAGGGTATGATTATAAATCCACCCATTTTATTCTTATTCAATAAATTATATATCTCCCTTCAGAACAAAATCATAACTATGCCACTGAGGACACAAAATATGTACAACAATTTTAAACTGTAGGATCATTTCCTCACACATTATTTCAACATAATTAGACTAAGTAGTTCATTAAAATATATGTGGATTTATAACTTTGAATCAAAATATTATGAAATTAAAGTTAAGTACAAATAAAACAAATTATTTGTGTAAACAATTTAACTATTTTTTTTTTTTTTATTTTGTACGCATTTAGAAATATATAAAAATAACAGAAGACACTTGGCTTTTTACAAGATAAATATACCTGATAATAATGGCAATTACATTTAAAAAAATATATTATATTTAATTAGTTTTCTATTCATACTTACTTACACATTGCCTTCTAATAAAACTGTTATCAGGATGACAAATGATTTCTTATTTTGTAATACATTTTTATTAAATTCTATGTAATATATTTGCACTTGTAAACATTGTACATTATATGAAATTATAATAATTGTATTTCTTTTTATGATTTTACTAATTTATGTGATAATTTTGCTTATATAATATTTATAATGATGCGATATAAATATAAATTTTAATGTATTGAAAAAATAGTTATATATTTATTAAGTGTACTTATATCTACTTTTGCTTTTAGTTAAATATAAATATTTTTTTAATTATTTTATTTTAAGTAACTGATAAATAATAAATTATTACAGTACATAACATTAAAACAATTTGTTACGTAGAAATTGTATAATACTGTTATTTTTTATGCTACGTGTAAAATACGTAACTTTCCTATTACAATATGAATAATGTTTTACTCTCATTATTTATCATTTTATTTCATTTTTCATTTCATTTTATATATAAGACAGTATCTACGATAAGGAGTTGATAAAAATTTTAGATAGAAAATATAGTTTGTATTTTAGAGAGGTAAAAATTAATAATTTCTAGTTTTTTTAAAAATAATTGTAAATATAAACAAAAAAAGTAAAGGAAATCGAGTTTTTTGCTTGACAAAAAATAATAAAAACACCAAGCCAGTTTTTAACTTTAAATTCATAGTTTATATCTTAGATATTCATTACAAATGTTGAAAACGTTTCATCAATAGATACAGAAACGTATTGTGACCATTGCTAATATAGTCACCAGGGACGGATCCAGGGGGGAGCCTAAAAGCACAGGCCCTCCCCTAGACATATTATTTCTCAAATTTTTTTTATAATTCTATACATTATAATATTACTATTTTTCAAATCACATATAACATATATCTGATAATATAAGAACATAACTAATATATTATAATATATTAAACAAGGTGGATATATACAATATACACCACGAGTGAAGATCAATTTCCATCAACAGCAATAGACGCCTTAAATAAATGTAATCCAAATATATTTCCTACAGTATACTAGATTCTAAGTATAGTTTGTACATTACCAATGAGTGTAGCTAGTGCAGAACGAAGTTTCTCTACTCTGAGAAGGGTAAAAACCTGGCTACGCTCTAGAATGCAGGAGGATCGCCTTACTTCTTTGTGTTTACTATGTGTTCATAGAGAAGTTAAAACAAATATTAACCAAATAATTAATAGATTTGGAAAAAGTGACAATGTAAAAAGACGTTTAGATTTTATAATTTAATATTTAACATTTATAAATTAAATAATCATTAATTTATTTATTACATTAATTACCTATGTCCTATACCTACCTACTATTATGACAACATTTTTAAATTATGAATAAAGTTCCTAGAAAAAAATTGTAGAGTCTCCCCTAGATCTTTACTCTGGATCCGTGCCTGATAGTCACCATGTATAATACATTATATTATTATCAATGGTTGACTTGGTTATACATATGCTACCATTGCAATTTTTGAATTTTAGAAAATATTACTAAGGAATTATACTTATCAAAAATAATTTCTAAATGAATAATTGTTGTTACTTGTTGTTATGTTATTACCCAACAGTGGTATTCTACCTAAATATGGACTTACTTACTTATTTACTTCTTTTTATTTCACTGAGAAATATGAACCTTTTGTTAGAGTACTACAAAATAAAATACTACAATTAAAATTGTTTTAGTTTAATAAACATTTAACACACATATAAAAAAAAAATAAATACACAAAAAATAAATATTCATTGTTTGTAACCAACAATATTTTCAATTAAAACTGACAATTTGTATAAAATACAGCAGTAAATCTTCAAATAACAGTTTAACATTGATAAAAAACTAGAACAGTAAATACTTAGGACACACACTAAATATTTGATGCAGAATTAAACAAAAAAATAATAATAATAATAATAATAATATTTTAAGCTATACTAAAACAAGATTGATAATTGTAACTTACACTAATACATTATAAATATAGTTTTAAACAAACAGGCAATACAAATATTGAATTGATATATCAATGAGAAATTTTAATTTGTAATCAAAAATAACATATAAGTTTAATTTATTTTATTATCCAACATTGATTTAATTCAGAAGGAGCATAATATTACATTTAAGAAACATCTCATTGATGATTTTTGTGACATCTTTTTTTTTAAATATTATTTTTCTGGATTTTCAATTTTGATTAATTATTCATATATTTATTATTATTTTATAGTGTGTACAGGTACAAAAGCCTTCAGTTTGAATTATAAAAAAAAATTGTCGTTAATGCACATATATTTACAAAAAATGGCTGTTGGTATAGTAAATAATAATTAATTATGATCAGAAGAAAGTTATAGATCAAGTTAAATTCTCTATGTACATAAAAAAAAATTAAGTGAAATTTGGTTATCACAATTTTTGTTTATATTGATTTAATTTTTAATTCTTTTTCAGCTTTATTATATTATACTTAGGCCATTTAACAGTTGAATAATAGATGTATATTATGGCACTAAAAAACAATTCAAAGTATATAATTATTAAAATGTGACCAAAACCAGTGATTTTAAACAGTTAAATTTTATTTTATACAAAAATATTTTAGTGAATTGAGTGGTAGTATTTGAATATTGTAATATATCTTTACTTTAGTAGATACCTATTTGTTTAGGAAAATATTTCAGAGACTTATTTTAATCTCTTTTTCTATCCATAACTAATCAGAAATAAGACTTATGTATAAGCTCCAAAGCATATAATATTATTAAATAATTATTAAAAAAATAAATAAATAAATAAATAGAAATTATATAAAAGTTTTTAGGTGGAAAGTAAAAGTATTCTGATATTTAAAAACACTTAAATGGTAATAGGCTGTACAATTTATAGTTTAATAAAAATTATTTTTGTACTGAAATGTTTGAAAAACTTATTTGAATTGCTATTTTGAACAATTTTGTTCCGCACCTTACATATGAGGTATCCAAGGTCACAAGGTTAATCATAATACATTTAAAATAACAAAAACATTTTTATGTGAGTTTTACATGGCTTGAAAACATTTTAAGATTTAATTTATAGTAAACTATAGTAAATAAAATATTTTATAAAAAAAAAAACAAATTATAATATAACAGTAATAGCACAGTAAAATATTAACAAACATCTAACAAACTTACATTCACATTAATATAATTACAAATATTTATAAAGTACATTAAATTTTTAGTGGTAAAGCGAACTGAAAATTCTCCAGAGACAAAGAAAAATATATCAAGGATCCACTTACCACTAATGACACAAAAAATGGTGGAAGAGTGCCTAATATAAATTGATATACCTAATGCTTATGATATAATATAATCAATTATTACATTTACAATTTAGGAACTCACTGAACACCATTTACAGAGCTCCTCACCCCATTCGAAAAGATCTTAGATTCATTGTTTCTAAAACTATTGTTTGTCATGCCATTGTGTATTCTACTACAAGGTATCACCTAACTTTAGCTCATTAACATTTAACAAGGAATGTTAATTGATTTCTTAAAATGAAATAACATTTATTTTGACACATAGTTACCTTCACAGCACAATTAAATATACATATATAGGTTAAAAGTTACCATAGATTAAGACATAATGGACTGGTATCGCTATGACAAGAAGGGGGAGGGCTTAAAGAAGATGGTTCGTTATTAGCCATTGTTCGTGCTCTAGATGTAAAATTAATTACTTAAGCAAATTTAATCGATGTGGACTAGGATATAAATGTAAATGGAGTTATATAATTATAATTAATAACAATATAATTAAAAAAAATTGAATGGTCGGTGGGAATAACGTGCTATGTAACATTTTTCGGATTTCATGTTTTTGTGAAATAACGTGTAATGAAGTATTCTTCAATATCGGAAAGACGAATTTAACTTGTATCTGTTATATGAATTAGGTAAAATTAATGAAAATGTAACGACTAGAACATTTAGCATTAAAATATATGAGGTATATTCGAAAAGTAAGGGCCGTTTGTTTATATTACAACAAGTTGTACACGTTTAAACTTATGTATATCTGTACGTGCACTGCTAGTGAAGCTATTTATTTTCAAGTATTGTTTTGATTCGGTTATTATTTGTCTATCTATGCATATAACGAACATGTCCGAGATAATCGTTACTACCGCCAGCTGTGAAGTTTGCGCTGTAATAAGATTTTTGTATGCAAAAGGATCCTCAGCTGCTAAAATTCATTGAGAGTTATGCCTAGTTTATGGATCTACTGTAATGAATAAAGGGACCTAAGACATTATAGTAAAATTAACATTTAGAAAGTAGGTATATAAATAACTGTAGTACTTAATAATTCCAGCTTGATTTTGCTCTTAGGCTAAAAACTTTATGTCTGATTTAACTATGTGATTACAGCAGTATACTCGTATATTATATCATATTATTTAATCAAATAAATGTTTTGATAACCAATATATAATTATTTAAAAAAAAAATTCTGTAAACTATTAATTATTAAATTATTTATTATAATAAGAAGTATAAATATACCTAACTATAATAATAATGAAATGAAAAAAATATGTTATAAATTAATATTCTTTATTAGTTATTACTTATTAGTTTAATCATTACAGCATAATACGTCTATTATTATGAATGGAGGTAAATTTATCTACAACTATATCTAAATTCAAACTTTTGGATATCTCTAATGGGAACACTTTCTAATTTATTAGGTAATATAAATATAAAATATAACATAATCTCGATCAAATATATAACGAAATAGATTGAAAATAGTTTTAGTAAATACTTAAAACTTAAATTTTTATTTGGTCTCAAATAGGTAGGGTAAAAAAGGGGCTAAACCAAATTTGGGTAGGGCGCTTGCCTCACCTTGCTATCCCTTGGAGCCGCAATTGTCCTCTTTTATGGACTAAAAACTGCGATCTGATCGTTGGTTGATGATTACTGTCTAGGCTGATGAATATCCTTACTTTGGACGCACTACTATCTACACAGTTAACACGGAAAATTTTGGATACCACAAATTGTTTATAAAGTGCTAATTCTCTTTCACGACAATGCACATCCACACACTGCAGCTAAGACCCAAGAGAAAATTCAAGATTTTTGTTGGGAACTTTTTAACCACCCTCCGTTCAGTCCCAAACTTACACCCAGTGACTACTTCTTTTTTTTACATTTTAAAAAATGACTAGGTAAACAATGCTTTGAAAATGACAAGGAACTTAAAAACGCTATTGAAAACTAGTTCAACTCACGGGCGGTTAAAAAGGGTTAAGGAAGCTGGTGCATCGGTATGAAAAATGTTCAGAAGTGAACGGCGATTATGTGGAAAAGTGAAGTAGATTTGTAGGAAACTAAGTGCACTAATAAAATCTATTTCATATTATAATTATTTTTTTTTCACGACAAAACGACCATTATTTTTCGAATATAATTTATTGTAGAGCAAAAAATTAAAATAATTTAGAAAAATAAATTATTAATAAATGAAAACAAATGTAACAAATTTACGATGACCTATCAAATTATCATGTTATGCCTTACTTACAGTATTATTTAACGTAGTGTAATATATTATTAAAAAAACTAGAATTACACAATATGATTCTCTAGAATACGTTACAGGCCAATGAAAAAATTATTGGCGACACAAAAAGGATGATGATTATTGACTAGGGAGCGTCAGTATTTACTTTTGATGTTTTGTGTAATTTAGATAAGTATTATATAAGTAACGAAAAAATCAATAGTAGTATATTCTGATGGTTGTGGATACCAAAATAGAAACAAAATTATGGTCAATATTCTTCTTCATTTTTCTATTAAACACCATCAAGTGGCAAGTTTATATTATAAGAAAATTCCTTATTAAAGGCCACAATTGAATAATTTGTGATAGTGCTGATTGCTTGAATAAAAAGGTGAAGATATTTATTTAGGATATGATTTTATCTAAATGACAAAATAATAAATAAAAATCCATCTCAATTTGAAGCAAATTTATTAAACAATGACTTTTTTTAACTAAAAATCTTATTAGGTCTATAATTCTAAAAGATCTGAAAAAACAGGAGATAATCCTAAGGTAATGAACTTGAGATCAATTCAATATAATACTAAAAATCAAAGTATTTTCTATAGATTAATGTTTGATGAATCCTATTACATAGGCATAGGATGATCAATTTTTTTTTAGGAGAGCTATTTTTTGAACTGGGAGAAAGCTGGGGGCTTAGCCCCCCCTTAATTACGCTTATGATTCTACACATTATTACCTGTAGGCAAAACAAAGTGATAGAATTAATCCAGATGTGTAATATAATAAACTGTATAAAAATTAAATTTCCATACATTTGTCAATGTGAAAAGATTTACATAAACTTAAGAAATTGCTAACACAAGACACTCATCGATTTTATGATAATTTGAGCCATTCATATACATGAATAGTATTTATTCAGTTATTTATAAAAAACTGAAAAACATTTTTTATACATAATGTTTAAAGTTAATTTTTATCATAGAAATCCAAAGACTGAAATTATATTTTAAAAAATTTATTAATTTATAATTTGTAACTAAAACCACTTTTTAACCAAGATTTTAATATTTATTTTTATTTTTTAATGTTACAGAACAACTTCAATTTTAATGTTTACTAAATACAGGCTAGAATTTTACTTTATTAAATTTAATAATTATTTTTTTGGTATTATTTCGTTAAAAAAATATAACTGTTGCTTTAAAAATGTTTTTAAGAATAATAAAGGAACTATCAAAAATTGTATTTCCTATTTAAATTATGTGGTATCAATATCATTATTTCAGGATAATACAGGCTTTTTTTGTATCTTATTGTGATATAAATAATAATACAAAGTGGATTAATTCAGTAAATTAAAACCAATATTAAATTTAGTACTTAGTGTTTGATTAAGAAATGTAATGTAAAACTAGATACTGAAATGAACACAATATATTTTAAAATTGATCGATTAAGTATTAATTAATAGTTAATTTTGTTTATTATTTTCCCTGAAAAATAGCAAACATGAAGTATGAGTTGTTGCTGTTAAGGTAACGACATGTGTAGTAATCAAAATACTTATATTACATTATTACACGCTTATACCAATAAAATTAGGGGCTTCTGTTTTAAAACATTTTTTTTCTGGCCTAAGTTGAAAATTTGACAGATCAAATTCTCAAAATATGCAGTTGATTCCTTTAATATTTTTTTATGAATCACAATTAACATTTTAAGTTGATCAGCTGTTAAAAAATTATAATTTTTCCAAACAAAAATAAATTGCATGCAAAACAAAACACAAAATATTTTAGTTCTAATAAATTAATTGTTTTATTTTTTACAAATTTACGAAATTTATATGACTATGATTTTGTATGTGATCTATCTGTCCGTTGTGTTCTACCAAGCTCTTTTTAATTCTACCAAAATTAATATTTTACCAGGGTTTTATTTATTTTTTAAAATTATGGTATATACCACATACGCCTTAATATAGATCTTGTATATAATTTAATACATTTTAGAGTTGATTTTCTAATGTTGATTGGAATAATTGGGAGTGTTTGATGTTGAGATCAATAAATTATTGCTGTAAATTCCGAAAAATCCGAAATATATGTTTAACTGCTATTTGATAGAACTTCATTTAAAAGTAACTTTTTAAGAAATCCGCAAATTCACAGGTAAAGTGTATACGGACCCATAGCTATCTGTACAATAAATTCATCCATTTTATAACTATCTAAGTTACATTTTAGTTTTATAATAGCTTAATTTAAGACAAAAATAAAATTTACAAGCAATTTAAAACTATTATTTAAAGTAATAAACCTGATAGACGATCTTCGAATAAAGTTTATAATTATTTCTGGATTATCTGCAACAGTTACTAGGCATTATTGAACTCTGAAATATTTTAAACATTTAATTATTTTAATGTATAACAAACTATAATATTGTGTATCAGTTAATCATATTTAATTTGTAACAATTAGTCTTCTCATAAAAATAATACAAATTATATTTGTAACAGATTTACAGATGCAGTGACATGAAATATCTACCTAAATATTGTATAAAGCATTTAACTATAGAATGTAAACAATGTAAGCTAAACCGCATCATAAATATAAATTTAATCTTTTCTGAGACTAAATTATTTGGTAAAAATTATGTACCAAACGATGATGTTTAATCAATGATTAGCGAGCAACGGCTTTTAATGAACTTTTTTCTCTTGTAATATAATTTACTTCTATTTCTGAATTTCAGTACTTATTAATATGAAAACTAAGTATATAAATATTATAAAGATAACCGAAAATGGTAATCAATTGTGTAAAAAACAAATGTTGGATTGCTCATATTCTCCGTTTGAACTGAAGTACTTTCAGTCCATCCTACAATTTAATAATTAATTTTGATACAGAAGGAAATTCTTTTCTCCTAGTAAGTATAAATGTGCTTTCAGATATACATATATACTTTTTTCCAAATGAGTTTTGAAAAACTCGTGAACCCGTCGGGGTAGTTGGAGCGTTGTGATTAGCTCCAGTGGTCGATGTGTATTGTTACTGTCGTTACAGGCCGCAGTGTACACAGAGAATCACAAAAAAATTAATAATTGAATAAAAAGCCACTTATCTCTTCTTGAAATTTTCAAAACAATTATAAGCACAAAATTAAATAAAAATAAATTATGAGTGGAAAGCAGTATATATATTTGGCTATATTTCAAAAAGTTGTAAGAACGATCAGTAGTAGATTTAAGATTTTTTTTTTGGGTGGGTGAGGGAGGTTCAAAATTGTTTGTATTTATTTGTAAACATAATATTTAGGATTTTATGTTAGGCCTCTAAGAGATAAAGGACAAATCTAATTTTTCTGACATGAAAAATTTAAAGTACAGTTCAATTTATAATTTGAAAAAAGTTTGTAACAATTGAAATATAATCAACTAATATTATTATAACTTCAATTAATATAATATAACTATCAAAAGGGGGGGGGAAGGTGCTAATGCTCATCATTGAAGACATTACTGAGAACAGTGTAATAGTTCAACTAGCGGTGCAAACATGTTATTTTGTTCGAAGCGTAACAAACAGTGCATCGCTATTCATTGGTAGCGAACATGACTGCATCTGCGCGAACTACACTCATTTTCGTCTTCATTTTTTTCTAACATTTAAAATAGATTAAAAACTGTTAGTTATTGTTTCTGTTCAGCATTTGCTTAATGAACATGTTTCTACTGTTTACTCGTGTTTTAATTCGATTAAATTTGTGTTTACTGTCAAATTGTTTTTACAACAATGAAGTATTATAATATTTTATGTTAGATAACATATACATACTTGTATTTTATTTACGATTTGTTTTCATTGCCATTAAACTAAATGGCATCCTTAACTCAGATAAATTGGAAAAAATTACAAAATAAATATTGAAAATAATCTTATTATCTTAGTAAAATAATTTAGGTAATGAATTTCACGATGACGAAATTAATGAGTAGTTTATGAGTTATTAATTATTTAAAGTTTAAGTGAGTGGAGTGAGTGGTATGAGATACGCTGAAAAATATTCGTATAATACTTTGATCGTCTAAATATAAAATACTTATAAGTTATAACTTATAAACTACTTGTTCAAATTTTGATTTTGATATAGTTATTGAAAAAATATGAAAAATATACTGCTTGGAGTATGAAAATAAAAAAGGTAAACAAGTGGGTACAGTTCACTCTGTTGTACATTAAGTGTCGAGTGGGTCAATATTATAGGTTTGTTAAATTAAAATTCAATGATACATCATTGTAAAAGAAAAACCATTTTAAGTGGAGATGGTTTGTCAGTTTATATCACTAAGTAATAAGTAGGTACCTATATTTCATGAGATGTTTTATTTATTTACATAGTTCTTAAAGTTATTTGTTTTACTTTTAGTATAACATTAGGTTTATATAATTTTTTTTGAAAATATTTCATTTATTATATTATTATAATAACATATATTCATAAAATATTATATCAATTTATACACCTTACTCAAAATGTAATATCATTTTTCTGTAAATACTGTAACAGAGTAAATTAAGGTTTATTATATGAAGGATAATATCTTAAAATATATTTAGAATGTCATTGGGTATAGAACAATACATAATAATATAAAGTACAAAGTTCCCATTATTAATATTTTTATTTTATAACAAAATAATTATTCCTATAAAAAATAATTGTTTTTAAAAACATATATTTTTAGAATTTATAGTTTCAGTATGAACTATGTACTTATAAGGAATCTTATAGAAGATATTCAAAACTTAAATATATAAAGAAGTAACTTTATGAATATTTAACTACAAAATAGTAACCAATTTTATGTGAATTTAAGAAATTTCGTTAAAATTTTAACTTTAAATGTATATAGAAAACTTTTGTGTATATATTTTTAAAATTAGTACACAAATATAGATAAGAACTTAATCTAACTTAATATGTGACATTTTATATTTAATTTTCAAGAATTTTGATTCAACGAATAACTTATAAAAACGAAAAATATTTAAAAAATGTTGTTTTATTTAGATTGGAAACTATGTAATAAAAATATTTTCAAAAACATTAATAAATTTTATAATAATAAATGTTGTTTGATAACATTTTTCTGTATGAGCGGTTGTTATACGTACATACTAAATATGAACAATTCCAATGCAAAGAGAAATATAACTGATTTAAAATTATTGTGAAGATTGGCCAATGGATACATAGGTACTGTTCAGCATTACTAAATTATTTAAATGTTTACATCTCTCAATGCCAAAATAGATCTATATACTATTACTTTTTAAACTCAAAAACTCAAGTATTATGTACTTATTATATACTTATGTACAGAATGCTTATGTAAATTCCACTTCGAGATTAGCTAATGATACCCAATTTGACTTAATTTGATTTCTATTGAGTCTTTTAAAAGTCATACTATAGGATCTTACGCATGAATTATTTTTCATTTAACTCATGAATCTGTAATCTATTATATTTTCCTATTATTTATTATCTTTATTTCTATTTAAATGCATCTTGTTATTATTCTTATATTTAAAACTGTAATTAGAAATTAATCCGTGAGAATAAATATAAAAATATGTAGTCGGAATCTCAGACACATACGAACTATTATAATTTTTCAGTATAAACTTTTACTATTTATAATTATTTAGTACCTAGGTATATAACAATAATAATTAACTCAATTACATACTATTCGGTAATAAAAATCTGTTTGCTTTTGTATTACATATAAAACATTGATTAGGTTTTATATTTCATTTTTCTTTGGTAAAATTTTTAACAATCAATGAGTAATTACTGTATTCAACAAAACAGACTTACCTATCATACTATTTCGTATCATAAGTAATAAAGATAAGCCTATGTAATAATTGTAAAATTTAGTCGAAATTGTATCATGAGTTACCTATATATTATTATTTGATACAGTTGTACAGAATAAAAAGTAAAATATATTTAATTTTGTGCCCATATAGGAATTTACCAAATCCTACTTAATAATATAGATTATTTTATAATTTTCTCCACTTTAAAACTAATTTAATAAATAAAAAAATTATTTAAATGGGTTAGAATTTTAATAAAAATTTACTGTGAAATTAGTGTTAACCTTGAAAAACTATTTAATAATTTGTTTACACAACAACATTTTAGACAAATACATTCTCTTTTATTTTATAATAGGTACCTATTTTGGTATATTTTATTGTAATATGTATGTAAACTTATTGTTTATCATAAATAATATATACATTTGTTCTATTATAAATACATGTTTTTTTTAAGTATATATAAATATTTAATTTTGTTTTACAAAATGTTTGCTCTCACTCATAAATAAAATTTTAAATTTGGGATAAGCAAATCTCAATTAAAATCAAATAATAATAAAAATTCAACTATTTGTGTTTTTTATATTTTATATTCCTATATAGTTCTGAAAATATGTTTAAGTATCTATATCTATATTCTAATTTTATTTGAAATCATTAATATGTATTAAAACAAAAATTTATTAATATTTATAAAAATAATAAAATATTAGTATATACACACCATTATTATGGCTGCTCGATGTCTTGAATATATTTTTAGTGGATGGCTATTTTGAAATAATTTGGTTTCCATTTAATCCATGCTGTACATTAACTGTTTTAATAGTAGAGTTAACCGTTTTGTTTGGGCAATTATTTGTTAAAAATTTAGTAGAACAATTTCTAACTTGATCAATTTCTTCCTGTTTTATTAATGATGTTGTTGCAAGAAGTGGAGAGTTTTTATAGCATTTATTTTGTTCTGAAGTTTTCATATAAAATATCAGTGGAGTAGATGAATTTTCATTTTTAATCAAGAAAGGTATTTTTAACAAATCATTAGGTTTTGAAGATACTGTAGCTGAAGTATTTTTAGCATCATTAATTTTAACACAGTTAGGTGTATGTACTTTTTTCAAACGCTTTTTTGGAGGGTTATTACTATTTATGTTTAGTTTTGAGGACCTTAAAGTTCTAGTATGAACAATACTAGAAGTGCTTATGTACTCGCTTTTAATTGATCTAAGTTTTTTACGTGAGTCTTCAAATGTTGTAGATATAGGAGTTAGAGTGTTTCTTGTTTTACGTAATTTCACTCGCTCAGCTATTGATAATAAAGGTTCACTAGAATTATCATCGTAATGCGTTTTCAAATCTTGAAATTTTGAAGTTTTTCTTCGAGTAGATGTATTTTGACTTTGAATAGGAAACGGTTTTTTGAACCAGTCTTTAGAATTTTCAGGAACTGTAGTTGAAATATTTTTGGTACCACAAACTTTTGATTTGTGATTTGGCATTGTCATAGTTGACTCTTTAATTCTTAAAGATCTTTTAAGAAACATATGTGGAGTGTTTTCATTTAGAATTGAAATGGATCTGTACAAAAATAAAATATTTAAATTAAAACATATTTATTTTAACAACCGTAACTATATACAATTAATTTGAATATATTTTATTTATCATTTTGAGTAATAAAAATGTATTATACAATTTTAAGTTTCACATATTATTACTATAATTTATTTCTATATTATTATAAGAATTTTTTTGTTTTTATTTATTATTGTAGTCTACAGCAATTACACAAGTGTTCTCAGTGCCGTAACTACACTTCGTGGCGCCCTTGGCGAATTTTATTTTAGTTTTATTTTTTAGGTATAATTTGTATATAATATAAAAATGTAATAATATAACATTCTTTTGTGTTAATCATAATAACGCTATATTTTTAAATAATTGAGTCTTTATAGTTAATGAGTGATATTAGATTATTAATATTATGTCAGTCTTAATTTACAAAAAAAAAAAAAAACCAAAAAAGTACAATGTTTCTTATTATATGTAAATAAATGTTATGTTAAATAAAATATAATGTTACAATAAATCATTAAAATTAAAATTAAAATTTTATCTTTCTAGCCTTTGTTGCTGCAAAATCGTCTATAATATCTTCATAGCTAATCGAGTTACTAGTTTCAAATTCAATTGATAATATTCCCAAATTTGTAAGGCGTTCCTGTCCTAACGTTGAGCGTAGATAGTTTTTAATAATTTTTAATTTACTAAAACTTCGTTCACAAGAAGCCACGGTCACTGGAAGAGTAAGAAATATTCTTAGGGCTATTTCTATGTTTGGGTATATATCTTTTAAAGAATTAGAATGTATCACGTTGATAAGATCCAATGGAGATGCTGAATTTAAATCGGAGAACAGTGACGACGCTTGGTGTTTGAAACATAATAGTTCTGAAACTAACTCTGTTCCATCTAAATCTTTTGAATATTTTATTGCTAAATCAGATGCATATTTTTTTATTATATCATCTGATTGATGATATAGGAAATGACCGCTTAAAAATTCAAAATCAGACGATACTTCTTCCATTTTTTTATACCTCCATTCCATCTGAACAATTATTGAATCCATCACAGCATTAAATTCTCTTTCAAACTCTCGTTTGGAATTTATTGAATGACCTTCATCCTCCGCAAGTTCTGATACCATACGTTTCTTTTTTGTCTTACGTTTTTCGGGAAAATCTGTTTCCAAATCCAGTTCTACTGCTATATGTTTTGCTACTTCAACATAAGATGCTATACCACTGTTTCGCAAATTTTTAATTATATTTACTAATCCTTTTATAATTTTATATGCGGTGTCAATTGATATATTTTTGGATTGTAAAGAGCAATTAATTTTATCAATGCTTGAGAGAATATCATTCCATATATGTAATAAACAAAGAAATTTAAAAGTTATTTGTTTTAGAAGAACAGTAGCTCCTGATACTGTATCATTATTACAGCTAGGATCGTTTGAAATATTTTGCAAAACTATATAAATATCTTTTATGTTTTTACAAAGTGCTGAAACCGCATGCTTTTTTGATGACCATCGTGTTTCACAGTGCGCTTTCAATGTTATTTTAATAACAGTTAATAACTTATCCCACCTAGTCGTGGAACCAGAAAAAAATGTGAAAATTCTTTGAACTGTTCCAAAAAATGTTATCATACATGGAGACGTTTCTGTTGCATGCAAACCAACTAAATTCAAACTATGTGCCGCACAGGGTATAAACCTTGCCCACTCGTTGATTTGAATAAGTTTAGATTGAACTCCATTATATTGGCCTGCCATGTTAGCACCATTATCAAAACCTTGACCTCTGCAATTTTCAATATTTAACCCATCACTTTGAATTTTATTCATTATTTCGGTCGCTAGTCCATGACCAGTTTTTTCCTTGGATACAATGAAATCAATAAAACTTTCTTTAATACAACATTGATTATCAATCACTTCTAAATATCTTATTATCTGACTCATTTGCTCCTTATGGGAAAGATCTGGAGTACAGTCAAATATAATGGAAAAATATTTTGCATCTTTTATTTTTGATATGATTTCATTCCGAACTTTTTCACCCATAAGATTTATAACTTCGTTTTGAATTTTTGGTGAAAAATAACTTATTGATCCCTTTTTAGATTTCACTGTTGAAATATGTTCTGCTAAAAGTGGATGATAATGACTTATCAGTTCTATAGTATTCAAAAAAATGCCGCAGTTATTTTCTCCTATTATTCCTGATTTACCTCGAAGTGCCAAATTATTTCTTGCACAATATAATATGACATCAATTACTACTTTTAAAATATCACGCCATTTTTGTTTTTCAACTTTTATCACTTTTTGAAAATCGTCATCTATTGTTTTTCCTTTTTTAATGCGATTTTCTAATTCTATCCATTCTATATAACATTGTCGGTGAGCATTTGTATTTTCATGAACTGATATATTAGGGTTTAGATGTTTCCAATCACAATAACCGTTTGTAGTATCAGTAAATGCAGAAACTCTGCATTTTGAAAATAAAACACACGGATAACAAAAAATTTTATCTGTTGAACAACTATAAACCAACCATTTTCGTCTTATTTTTTCTCCGTTGGGAAGACTTTTATACAACCATTTTGAACTAAAATGCCTACCATCATTGTCTTCAGGAAAAATATAATTTGATAAATCATTATAATAATTATGGTTGAAACCATACTCGACGATTGCTACTCGTGTTTTATCATTTACTAATGGCCATTTAGCTGGGTCTGAAAAGTCTATGTGACTATTTGAAATTGGTTCTAGTAATTCGGGTTCAGTCTCGGAATTATCGGTTATGAAACTAGTAATATTTTGATTAAAAGTTATTACAGTTGAAGAAGTGCTAGAACTCGGTATATTTTCAAAGTTAATTTGATCAGATGAACGATGGTCAGATGAAGTTGAAGTAGATAACCAGTTTCTTAAATTGATTCCTAGTGGGCGTTCTTTTTCCTCTCGTTCCTTTCTTAATTTTTTGAATTCAGCCCCAGAAGGTTTTTTTGGAGGCATTCTGATAAAATAAAATATACTTGATTATAAATGTATAAATGAATATACCATCTGTTAATATGGGAAAAATCTAAATGATTGAAAACACGATGTATTCAGAACATCAAAAATACAGAATTTTTAATTAAAAGAAAAAATTAAAACTTTATAGGAAAAAATAACAATTTACAAAAATAACGCAAACGAAACTAACCGAATATTATTTCGATTAAAATTGAGATTTTAACTAAGATTAAAAATAAATAAAATAATAAATAAGTTTGCTAAAGTTGTCCCTAATTAACACATGAATGTATAATGTACCTACCTAATGTATTTGCAATTTATTACAATTAAATTTAAAAAACATACTTGATAATTGATACACCGTTGTTCAGCAGCTCTTGTATCGAAAAACACTATTACTAAAGAATTATGATTACAGTATTACCTACACTAATATAAAATACGGAAACCGACTGCAAATGGCAAGTGACAACTACCGAGAAACGTACCTACCTATAGTGTAATGTGGCAATGTAATGATAAACTTTAATCTCTACTCTGTATAGATATTATATTATAAAGTATGGTATATGCCGTATGCCGTAATATTAGTTAAATTATTGGGAAAACCAGTCATTTGTGTTAATCATTACTATGGTCGTTTGTCGTTCGTGCCCATATGGCTATACATTTCATACACGCAAAAATAAAATAATTTATATCAGTATTCCAGTGTATAATATAAATTTAAATGTAATAAACACCATTAAGGTGCACTCCAGTATGTAATGTTTGTGCATTATACATTTACGCTCAATTTTAATAAATACATGAGAAAAAAAAACCAATTTTAATTTAACTCAAAGCGCGCCCCTTATTTTACTGCGCCCTTGGCAAGCGCCCATGTCGCCAACCTCTAGTTACGGCACTGAGTGTTCTAGTAAACATTTCAAACAGTCTTGAATATATATATCAGTAAATAAAAAATAAATATTCTATTTAATTATTTATGTTTTGTATTCCAAATGTCTATTTATTATATTCTAGTTTTTTAAATTTTTATTTTGCAAATTAATTAAAAAATAATATAATTTGAAAACAAAAGAATTCATTGATAAATAATGTAATATAGTTGGATTTTTTTATTAATTAGGCAATCAATTGTTTAATTATAATATATTTTATTCATGTGGTTTTATTAACAGTTTTGTATAATTTTAATTATTGTATCTCAACTGTATTCATTTCAATATGTATTTAAAATAATCAATTATTTTATTAAGTTTAATACTGGTATTCATGCTTTCATGACTTAAACATTTAATATATAAATAATGAGTTAATAGTTCTATAAACATTATTTAGTTTATTTTTTATTTTAATTCTATTTTTTTGAAATTGACATCAGTCTAATTATACATTTTAAACAAAATTGTAATCTTAATGAATTTATCTAGTTGACTGTTTATTTGATCCAACTAAATTTTGTGAAACTTTAAAAAATACATGATGTGTTTGATTTAAAATGTTGTATTTTTTTATGTGTATTAATAAATTAAGAGAATAAAATTTAAATAACAATAATTTAATTTACATTAATTCACTTACCTATCATTTTCAATTGTAGTTAATTTACTGGTACTTGATTGGGTAATTTCATCACTGCTATTGATATATTTTTGAGCAGAGTTATTCACCAATGCAATTAAATTTTTGATTTCAGTTTCATTTATTGAAGAAGAATTTTGACGTACTCTATTTGATGCCTCTTCTAATAAACCGTCCAGTTTATCAATATCTGTAGCATTGATAATTGCATCAACTACTGAATTAAAATTAGTAATTTTAAGAACTGCTGGTATAAACAATAACTTCCAACATTCAATTATATTGGGATCTGTATGAGAGCCTTCTCCGATTAATTCTGACATTTTATAATAACATGAGCAAAATGTATCTGATTCCAGAGTTGTTTGAATTTTATTAATACTTTTATCGTTTATAACTTTCCATTGTAATTTTTGAAGTTTGTTTAGTAAAACATTACTTTTTTGAAATATTTTACTACTTAACATTTTAAGACCAATGAATAAGCTTAATATAATCATTAAAAACCCATGTTCATAGTCAGAATCTTCAAAAATTGATAATAAATCAATAATATTTTTTTGCAACATTTTATCAAGTTTTTCAAAATAATTTATGTACAGAACTGACAGCTTATTAACTTTCTTAGCCATGACATCTTTGTCTTCTCGAGTTAATATCAAATTTACTTGTGATATACAATGTATATTTGTTAACATGTTCATAAATAGTAAGTTGTTATTAATAACCAAAGTATCTTGTACAGTTTTATTAAAGTATTTTTTATGTAACTGTCCAAAACATAGCAATGTTAATTTTTTGGTCCCTAGAGATGGAAAAACAAAAGATGTGTCAGTTTGTGAAATATTTGATTTTTCTGTATCAAAATACTTTATGTTACTATCCATGTCAGCAAAATTGGCATTTATTGAATGTACATTACGTACTTTGATTTTACCAAATAATGAACTATTATTTGTTACTGATTCCTTGATTTTTGTGGTCTCTTTTTTCATATTATGATCAATTATTATAAGTTCTTCATTATTTGAAAGTTCGGCCTCATTTTTTATATTCAACTGTTCAGGTAGTGATTTAAGATGAGAATTTGGAAATAACTGTAATTTTGAATATTTAAGTTTTGATTTAAATTTATTGCTATATTTTGACAGTGTTAACTTTGGAACTTCAAACTCTGTTTCTTCATTTTTTATTTTTTTACAGTTAGGTTCTTCATTTGTTAATTTTTCTGTTTCTTCAGTTTTTAATTTTAAATGTTGAAGAACTCCATTTGTAAGCTTATCATTTTTATGTTCATTTACCATCCATATAGGAGTGCTAAAACATAAATAACATTTCATTATGTTTCTAAAGTTTTAAAATATTTTCACTTCTTATACAATAAACTACTAACAAATTTACATTGAATAAAATATTTGTAATACCTATAATATAAGTCCTATACATTATCTTAAGTTAATTATTTAAAATAATATTATTTTAATGATTATTATATACCTAATCACATTTAATGTAATAATCTCAATACTTAAACAGATATGAAACAATCTAATATAATTCAAACTTCAACAATTAGAAGAAACAAAACTTTAACTTGAAATTTTATGAATAAAAATCTTTTACTTAAGTATTATTAAATAATTAATAATAATTTATTATACATACTCAATTTTTTCTAAGGAGACATATGGTTCATAATCAATAAAGGAATACAACATTGTTCTCATTGATTCAGCTGACTTCATGTTTATTAAATTAATATTTCCTGTTGACAGACAATAAGATGTAATATTTTTAATATATATAGAAATTACTAAAAAAAATACAATAATAATAATAATAATAAATGTTTTTTATTTTCTAATATTTGTATCTACATAAAACTTATTTTTTCTAATCAGTTATTTTTTCCTCTCACCAAATTTGTTTGTAAAAAATAAAATAATTTATATTGTATATTATTATCACATAATAATTTTTAAAATATATTTTATGAAATTTATGTTTTAAAAATCAATAATAACTTTTATTTTGTTAACATAATTAAAACCTTACAAAATACAATAAATTAAAATATTTTAAATAAAACAATATAGAAACAGGCAATGTGCATACCTTTAAACTTAATAGTAAGTTAATATACTCAAATATTGATGCTAAAAAAATTGATTAAAATGAACGAACATTTTTTATAGCATTTAAATCAGCAAGAGAAAACATAATATAAAGTGCTAACATTTTCATAATTTAATACAATAATAATATAATTCGAGGTATCCATTACTGGCTATCTTTTTAATTTTAGTTTGCATAGTTTTCTGATAATTTCTAACATGATATTGAAATTTATTTTGTTTGTAGATACCTATCTATAATAAGTTGGTGACAGCTCTTATACTTATTTTCAATGTCCCAAAAATCTCAATATTTTAATAGATATGGAGCTATTTAGTATGATTCATATTTTGACTTTAAGAAACAAATCTTAAAATTATGTATTAAAACTGTAAAATAACTTAAATAAAATATTATTAATAGTTATCGTAAATAATTAATAATATTTTATTATACATACAGAATTGTTTATACTAATACGACAAATGGTCCATTATCAGTAAAAGAACCAAACACTATTCTAATAGATTTAGCCAAAATCATGTTTATTTAGTTTTTCTGTAAAAAAAAATAAGTTGTGTTATATAAATAAAAAATTTTAAATTAATTTTTTTCATACATTACAAATAAGATCATTATTTGTTAATTAGCATTTTAAAGATATTTCAATAATTATGCAAGTTATAATTGTTTAACAAATAGTAAATGACATCACAGGAATAGATGTCGAATGTCAATATTAATCTTTTTGATACTATAAAAGCATATAAAATATAGTCGAATTGTTATTTGGAAGTTCAATAAATAGTTGACAGGATGAATTTGAAAAATATGTGAATAAGAAAAATTGAATAAAAAAATTTAAAATTTACATTAATGAAAGTTTAAATATCCATATAACAAGAAACTATTTTAGAAACAAGATTAAAAGCAAAAACCTGAGCAAGAAATGATAGAATCTTCTGCAAAAAAAAAAAAGTATTGATCCACTGAATTTTTTATAAAGTATTAATTATATTGATACATTGATCCACTGTTATTTAATCTATAAACTTTTATTTTTGTTATTATGTAAAGTAAAATTAATTTTTTTCTGGTTTAATTGAGGTATAAATTTAATTATGTACAATTATGAAATTAAATGAAAAACTTTAACAATACTATTTTAGTTATAGAAATACCTTAATTAATACCATAAAAAAGCTTAACTTAAGTACTATTAATGTGAACTATAAAAAGTCAGAAATGATTTTAAACAAAATTGAAAAATTAATAAAGAAACGATAAACCGTTCTAAAACTAATTCTTTTATTCAAATTAATATTAATCTGGTAAAAAGGTACATACAACAGAAAAACAAAAAAACATCAAATTCCTTTTATAAATACTTCACTAATGCAATACTAAATATGAATAATCAAATAAAACATACAAAAAAATCAGTAAAATTTAAATTCAAATTAAGTATACTTTTATTAATTGAACTTTTATTGTATATTTATAATTTAGCTATCACAATGTCTACTATTCTGGATAGCTTTAAAATTGCAGTATTAATACTAGTACTCAAAATGGCAATAAATTCAACATTGAAAACTATCGCCCAATATCAAAAATATCAAATTTGCTACAGTTTAAAAAAAAAAAATATTAAAAAAGAACTAGTTATTATCTTGAAAATAATAACCTTCGAATACATACTGAATTCAGTTCTAGGCCAGGTAGAAGTATTGAACAAGCAATTGCTACAGTATTAAGTTACATTTATAATTCTTCTGAAAGAAAAAAAAAATGTGTTACTGTTTATTTGGATTTAGCAAAATGCATTTGATACTAAAGATCAGGGGACACCAACTGGCGGATCGCAAACATTTTTTTTATAGACCCTTATCTATGGAATAGTTTTTAAATTTGTATAATATAAATATAGAAACTATAAATATGTATAAAATACAATTTAAATATATAAATAAGTATAGATACAAATATTTATAATATATAAAAGATATACTTATTTATTAACATGTGTAAAATGCAGAAAGTTTGTTAAGTTACAAAACGGACCCCTTTAGAAATAAATTGGTGACAACTGTTATAAATCATATTAAATATTGTTAAACATTTTAATAAATTTGATATTAAATTTATGGCATAAAATTTATTAAGTTCATATTTAACAAATATAAAATAACATATTTGAACAAACAATGAACTAAGAATGAAGAATTTTCATTAATTTGTGGTGTACCCTAAGGGACTACTCTTCTATCACCCATACTATTTAATATTTATACAAATCAAATAAATGAATTGAATACACACAGTAAACGAGTTTGTTATGCAAACAATATAATACTTTTTGTTAAAGGGCAATTTTGGGATGAGATATTTGATAAAGTAGTAATTTGAGAAAAATCTAAAAATGGTTATTGTAAATTAATTTGTTTCTTCGCTTAGAAAAAACTTACATTTTACCACACATAGAAGGCAAGTATTATATATTTAAGTATATAAATGTGTTATAATATTAAATGGAATGACTATACAACACTTATTACAAATAAATTTAAAAAAATAATGTCTGATTTCAAAAATCTAACAAATATCTTAGAACTTAATAAAGTTAAAATTGTGTATCAAGCACTAATAGAATCTATAATTAATTATGGTCTTTCTATATTCATTCAAAATGCTTAAAATAAATATTACACTATGGCTTCTACAAGAACAAAATATAGTTATATAACAGGTTTACAGCATTATCAAATTGCTATATTATTTTAGTAATTATTAATATTGTATTTGTATTACTTTATATTATATTTTTTTACTGTTAATGAATTTAAAATAATGTTACATTGAGTAGGAATGATAATAAATATGTATTAAATTTAATTAATGTTTTATGTATGTAAGAAAAATGTAAATAATGTAACTATTGTTATTCTATTAATAATTATGCTATCTATTTATTAAATTTATAGTTAAAAATGTGAACTCTTGGGCCTTCACACAAAATTGTACAGTATGAGCCATTATCTTTTTGAAGATTAAATAAAAATTAAAATAAATAAAACATAACAATTTAAAATGCTAATTATATCACAAACAAATTTAAATATTTAAAAAAAGTTAACATATATACACTGAACACATAATATTTAAATTTTTTTTAAATAATTAGTTGATTTGCTCAAACACAAAATTGATTCAACTAAATTGAAATTTTCTATGTTGCACATGGGTCAGAGAGAAAACAAATGTTATGGTTACATCCTTTTATCAATAATACACATTTTTAAGGACAAAATATAAAATTAGATATACATTTTCATACAATTGTGTATGTTTGTCAACTTAAAGCTTAAATCTGATTAAATTTAAATACTGAAAATTTAGTCTCTTAATATACAGTATAAATCATTTTATTAAAAGATTTCCGACCATAAAAAAGTAGTATGCACAATTAACAAGCACTGAATTATATCTTAATGCACTATCTTAAAAGAATGCCATTCTACCTTATGTTGTCTCTATCTTACAAATATACAATATAGGAAATTTGTGTTAAATAGTGCCAAATGCCATTTGAGTGAAGAAACCTTTAATAATAGAGTTAATTAATCAATTAACAAATTTAGAGGTAAGAAAATTGCCTGTGTTTTTCTTTAATATTTTAATTAGTAAAAAAATTAAAAGAAATTTTAAATTGTAATATTTTACATACTCATAATGTGCTTAAAAATTAAAATATCTCAAAAAATCTAAATGAAAACACAGATGATTTTGTTATGTTTTTTGATGACAAATTGATTCACTTAATTATTAAAAGTTATTACACAAAATTGGAACTGCTGAGCACAAATTTTCTATTGTGTACATTTGTAAAACGAAATGTAGGTAAAACATTGTCATTAAACGTAAAATATACAAACATTTTTCTCGAAAACCTTGGATATATTGTGTGTTTACCAATTTAGGGAACATTGAATTTCTCAGCTGAATTAAATTGGAATAAATCAAATTTTTTTTACAGGCTAGTGATATACATTTATAGATAAATTTCAACATTTTATCATTCTGGTATGTGTATGCGCAATAAATATATATATATATTTTTAATAGCAACACCTATTTTAAACACCATATTCGGATAGGCCTAATTTTTTAAAGTAATTTTGATGTATTAACTATGGTTCTAAATAAAATATTGACTGAATAAAAGCCATTTTCTTTTTAATTAATAAATACATTTTTACGGTTAATTGAAGTAAGTACATAAAATCATTTATAATTATTTATTATTAATATTTTTGAAAGTTTTAAGTTTTTTTTTTTTTTTCTATACGTGTTATAAATATGATTTACATAATATGGGTATACATATCGTACATTTGTTTATTAAATATTATTTCCTCCACTATTTTCTACGCATAATTGAAATCGTTGTAGACATCCTCTATTGGTTGCTGATATTATTTAACTTTCAGTTATGTTATTACTTTTTACACAATACACGCAACCACGACTTTGTTGACTGGTAGATCTTTGTAAATTATCATTTTTAAATTCTCCATGAAAAAAATCATGTAGAGTGATATTTGATGATCATTGAATGAGTCTTATTGTAACATGTATAAAAAAAAATTCGTAAGAATATATTTTAAAAATTAACCAATGATAAATAATTATAAATGATTTTATGCACTTAAATGAATCGTAAAAATGTATTTATTTATTAAAAAGAAAATGGTTTATAGTCAATTTATGTATTAACTATTATTACAGTCTGACTATTAATTTCATTGCGTTTGGTCTGACTTTAATACGTCCGTCCGTGGTGTTATTACTTATTAGTATTGTTCAATAAATCGTTCCTTTACACTAAAGTCTTTATCTACATCTTTTAGCATTCTCAATATTCTGTGCAATCAACTTTATACTTATATACGATACGTATTTTTAAATTATTCTGTTCCTGTTAACATAATATGTGTTGTTTAAAATATAATATAAAAAATAATTTATAATTAATAATGCTTCTTATTTTTTTTAATTTCGTTAAATTGCTTATGGTATTCAGATGGTTAAAACTAGTAGAACGTAGCCTAGTGGTTCTAGTAATCGCAAAAAGGCAAAAAGTAAAAAAATTGAAATTGCAAAGGTTATGGCAAAAGTTCCTTATATAAACTCTTATTTTAAGGTGAATAACGTGATAAACAGCCCAGAAAAGACGTCAAGTCATACTTTTAATATTTACTTTCATTAATTTGTCTCATTAGTATTCAGTAATCAATTAGTGTCATAATTCATAACACACAGCAATTTTATTAAATCTGATTATTTTTTTATACACTAAATTAAATTTATATTATCAACATTATGATATTTGTTATTAATGATTATAATTTTAAGATTATACTATATTACTATTTTTACTTTTCTATATACATAAAAAATGTTTATTGCTAACTATATAACTATATAGTAAATAGTTAGCTTGACATATTGCAAACTAATTTATATAACATTTTTTATGCACTTAGTGAATATGTAATTTATATTGTTAGTTTTTCATTGAGTTAATCTAAAGTTAAGATAAAATCTATTATTTTCCTTCCTAATATACTATCGTATAGCCAATGAAATTTTTCATATTATTTGTTACATTTTTTAGTCTAATGTTTTCATTTATTTATTAAACTTAGACAATTTTGGCAATAGTCTTATTACTGCTATCAGTTCACAAACGGATGATTTATTAACTCCTTGTAACTTAAATTCATCATGTTATCGGTAAATGATTATTTTTATTCAAATTATTTTATGCTCTTTTATCGATTTTATAATAATTACTTCATATTTTATTTATTTCTTTAGGAAGGATATTAATTTGCATACTTTAAATGGAGATAATTTTATTGATAATCCATTAGTCACCGAACAAGTAAATCTTAACAACACCGACAATACTTTAAATGATACATTATTAGAGTAAGCTACTATTAATGCCATGTGATGACATGTTCTGTTGCTAAAAATATATTTATTTTTAGTAAAATGCTTGTGAGTACTGCTAATATTAATGTCAATGATAATGAGCTATTTCCAACTGCAAACAATTGTCTAAATATTGATCTATCTCTTATTTCTGTTATTGATGATAGTATGAACATACAAACTGCTGTTCCCAAGTAAGTTAAAGTACTTCTTTCTTAGTGTTTTAAGAGGACATTGACTATCAATTTTTTTTTTAGTAAAGATCCTGTTTTGTGGGATTTAAATGAGAAAACTTTAAAAGATGCAAACTTTACTTCGTCAAAAAAGTTTTACACAAAAGTAATTTGTGGCACAAAAAAATCATACTTCAGAAGCTTCCATCAAAATTTTATCAAAACTAAACTTATAAACGGAAAAGAAGTAAATCGTAATAATATAGTATATTCTAATAGCACAGGTAAAATATATTGTGCACCGTGTCGACTATTTAATGATAGTAATTCTGTCAATACTTTTGCCACTTTTGGATTTTGCAACTGGAAAAAATGTGAAAAAAAATTAAGTCAGCGCGAAAATTCAATTAATCATAAAAATCGTGTCATTAAAATGAAATATAGGGGAAATAAACTAGGACGTATTGACAGTTAACTTATTTTACAAGTTGAGACTGAAATAAAATACTGGAAAGAAGTTCTAACCAGAATAATAGCTGTGGTGAAATCATTAAGTTGTAGAGGACTATCATTTAGAGGCCACAATGATAGATTTGGATCAACTCATAGTGGTAACTTTATCATGTGTTTGGAACTTATAGCTGAGTTTGATCCTTTACTTACTAATCATATTTCAAAATTTGGAAATAAGGATAAAGGAAGTACTTCTTATCTATTTTTTTCTGTATGAAAAGTTTATAGAAATAATGGGTGAAAAAGTTAAAAATACTATCATTAATGAAATAAAAAATGCTAAGTATTTTTCAATTGTAGTTGATTCAACTTCTGATATTTCACATACAGACCAACTTGCATGCATATTAAGATATTTAAAAACTAATAGTGAACCTGTAGAGCGATTCTTACAATTTTTTGCCAATTTCGGACATAAATCTGAAGATTTGACAGATGCGATATTTCTGGTGATTGGAGAAAATGAATTAGACATTAAGAATTGTCAAGGGCAATCATATGATAATGCATCAAATATGTCAGGTGTATATTCCGGACTACAAGCTAGGATAAAAGATGCATGTTCTTATGCTACTTCTGTCCCATATGCAGCACATTCGTTAAATTTGGTAGGAGAATATGCTGCTAATTGCTGTATACTTGGTATTGAATTTTTCAATTTTCTTCAAACTTTATAAACATTTTTTTCTGCATCTACATATCATTGGGAAATATTGTGTGACTGTTTGACTAAATCCAAGAATAGAACAGTAAAAAGATTATCCGATACTTGAAGGGCAGCTAGACAAGAAGTTTGTTTAAGTCTTTCTCAAAACTGGACAGAAATTTTTAAAGCATTAAATAGTTTTGTTGAAAATCTAATAGAAAATCCTAAGACAAAATGTGAATCAACTAGATTAATAAAAAAGATGAATAGTTTGGAAATGTGTATTCTTGTATCATTTTGAAATGATATTTTAGAGAGATTTAATAGTACAAGCAAGAAATTACAGACTATTGAAATTGATTTAACTGTTATTATAAATATATACAATTCTTTAATTATTTATGTAACAGATTTAAGAAACACTTTTTCACACTATGAAAAACTAGGTATGGAAAAATCTGAAATTAAAGAATACAAAGTTGCCAGGTAAAAGAAAAGAAAAGTACAATACGATGAATCATGTCTAGGTGACACATCATTTGAAGCTAGAAAATCATTTAAAATAAATACATATTTTGTCATAATAGATTCATTACATTCAGAGTTAAGGAAGTGTAAAAACTCGTATGATGATATTAATAGTATGTTCAGATTTTTGCAAATATGATTGATTTACCAATAACTGAAGTAAGAAAGAAAGCTACTAAATTACAAAGTCAGTATCCTGAAGATCTCGATGGACCATTCATAAATGAATGTATTCATTTTCATGGATACTTAAAAAGTTTACTAACAAATGTATCACCAAAATCTATTTTAGAGTTGTGTAAAATTATTGAAGATCACAATATAGCAGATGTCTACCTATATGTAGATATTGTGTTACGTATGTATTTATGTTGTCCGGTTTCTAATACTTCAATTAAACAGTCATTTAGTGTTCTGAAAAGAGTGAAATCATACTTAAGGTCTACAATGAACGACAATGGCTTAAACAATTTGGCTATTTTAAATTTTGAATGTGAGATTACTAAATCGATTAATTATAATGAGGTTTGAAGATTTTGCTGCCCAAAAATCTCATTGTAAAATATAAATGCTTATATTTTTTTTTGTTAATTTAAATATTTTAATGTATATGCTTCAAATTATATTATGTTCTAAACTTCTATATTTGATTATGTAGTTATTTTTTAATCTCAAAATGTTTATTAATGATTATGAAAAAAAAAAGGTAAATAAAATGTTTAACCTTTGGGGGCAATAAATTATATGTACCCAGGGCATCAAATTTCTAAATACGCCACTGTAGATACATCAAAATTACTTTAAAAAATGGCCCTATCCGAATATGGAGTTCAAAATGGGTGTTGCTGTTAAAAAAAATAAATATTTTTATTGTGCATGCGCATACTGGAATGATAAAAATTTTGAAATTTATCTATATATGTGTATTTATATACCACTAGCTTATAAAAAAATTCAATTTATTCCAATTTAATCTAGCCGAGAAATTTAATGTTCCCTAAATTGGTGAACTCTTGGTATATTTTGATAATTACATAAACATTTTGTAATATAATTTTTTAAATAATAATAAAAAAAAAATCAAATAATTTATAAATATCTGTATATCAAATAAAAATAATTAGATGAAATTAATTATGTTTCTAAATAAAATTATCATTACAATTTAAAAATTCTTTTGTTGTTATCTAATTGTTGCTAATTGTAGTCCACACAAATTTAGCCAAATACTATTCTATTATAATATTTTATATATTAAACTTATAACATATCATCTCTAATTTATCAGCAAATTTATATCAAGAGTACAGACTGTCTTAAAATTGATTTGGTTGTTATTACAAATAATTAATAGAACTTATTATATTATTATTTAGTGTTTTGTATTTATCTATTTAACAGTTTACCATAAGTATTTAATTTGAATAATCATAACTGTATGTTTTACTTGAATTTATAACAATAACAAAATAGAACTTAAATAATAATAATTTTTATGATTTTCTAACATATTTTGTATAGTTTATAGATACTATTATTAAAAAATGTTACATTATATAAGTTATTACTATTACTAATCAATACTTGATATGAAATACCTACTATTATAATAACATTTAACAAATATCTAGCTAATGGTTGTTAACTATAATGGCAAATGCTGTAACTATCTGTAAACATGAGGTTTATATTATACTTGATTAGCAACTTGTAACAATGTAACCATAAGTGATGCACCTGGCATTTTAGCCAAAATTTTTAAAAAACAATTTTTTAACATTGTTGAATAAGTGATAATGAAACTGACCTACTATTACAACTACAAGTCATAAACTTAAATGATGATATTGTATGTATAATATTACAAATATACACATAATTCTATTATTTCTGTTAAACTGATTTGATAAAATTTAAGTGATGAGTCCTCCCTCCCACTTTTTCATGTATGTATGCCTAGCCTAATAACAGTTAGAGACAAGTTGTAGTTAGTTGGTTGGAAGCCTATGTTGGGTTAGGTTATGCAAAATCCTCCTGAAGTTGAATTGATATGTGATATACTAATAAAGTTTAAAGTTAGTACGATGTAACTTGTACATAGATATTGGTGTTGTTAGCTTACAATGAGGAGTTTCTATTAAATGTAGTTAATATGTTTATGCTATAATAATATTTACCGAATATTTATTATTAAATATAGTAAAAAGAATTGTATTTTATACAACATTAGATAAACTTATATATATATAAAAAAATAATTGATTTTATATTTAAAAAAGATTATAAATTATTGATTCAAATGGACATATTATGGTAATATTGAAGATGAGTAAAAATATTTCACACAAATGTTTAATACATCTGTTTAGAATTTGAGAAAATGGTTTATACATAGCAATTAAGTTAAAAGTAATGTAGCAATTAAAAATATACCTTACATTCAAAATGGTTTTTCTGTTGAAACAAAATTATGAATGGTTAGGTTGATAGCAAATCAGAATTAGTATTTTTCTAACTTCTTTAAGATTATAGTTATTTATGACAATATCTATTGGAAGTTGCAGTTATAAACATTGTTTCTCAAAATTGAATATTGTAAAAAGTAAACTTAAGATTAAATTCTTTTATTTTTTTATTTATTAAACAAAAAATAACTAATGATCTTATCAAGGATTTATCATATAATTATTACCTATATAACACATCAAGTGATTTTATAATTTAGTATCTATTTTTGATTTTTAGAGTTGCTAATACTAGTAACATGTAGGTATTATCATAAAATGTTGTAAATGCAATTTTGGAAAAAAATGTTTTGTTTATTTACAAATACAGTGGAAAAACATATAAGGAGGTCATCATTTACTACATGACAAAAGTGATTTTCTAACAATTTGTCTTTGTTGGGAATTGAAGTGTAGGTATTGAGTTGTATCATAGTTGTTATATGTAAAAATAATAAAAACCTATATGTTTAAGTAGAATGATTTACAATTGGTTTAAAAGTAGAATTGGATAACACAAAAAATAAAATTGTCATCCACTGCTATTTGTTTTCTATTCAATATGATAGTAATTAGTAAGAATCACAGAAAATATTAAAATTAGAGTGTTTACCTTAAGGCTTATACGTGTGTGATGTGATAAAAACACAGAATGTCATAACAAATATGTAAAAGAAAATCAGCAACGTTATAGGTAGTCTGGCGATGAAAAACAAAAATCTCTAGCAGATGGATGAACATTAGTGTGATAAATATTATATCATAAATTTTACCATGCAAGTTAATGAAAAACATTTAAATTTTAAGGTCTGATGAATCAAAATAGGTGACAAATGGAAGTATACATTATAATAATGATAATGTTACCTAAGTTTATCATAAAATGTAAATTATAATAGTATTGGGACTATGAGACGGACAATAATTGTGCATAGACTTTGTTTAACATTCCGTTGCATGGAATTTCAAGTTGGGACTTCGGATTACTGCTCAAAAGAAAGTCTACATAACATAGTCTAGCAACGTAAAACAGAGATCGCTATTAGATCGTTAGACGTCACAGTGATAATATTATTAAATAGTTGCCTACCTTATGAAAACCCAGAGATGAAAAGAGCTTCTGGAATGTGTTGCTGTGTGTTTACTCTATGTAGAGCAAAGTAGACAGATACGAGGATGAACGACTTCCTAAAACGAATCATAGAGACGTGAAATATCCAACGGCAAAGTACTGACAACAATAGAGATTAGAGATACTGGCCACCGTTAGCGCGTATTTACTTGAACCGCGACGGCGTTGGCCGCGGTGAATGCCACACTACTTCCTCTCACCCGCCTTGCGGAAACAGTTCAAAACGGTAGCTGTTGCCCGTGCGCTGTCGTAGTATTCGGAACGTGACGTCATTCAGACGTTGCCAGATCTTGTTTGTGGATTTTTATCTCTCCACCGTTTGCTTATCGCCGTCACTCTTCGTCCTCTCCTCCTCCTAGTTCACAACGATAGTTGTTTACGTAGCCCGGGCCAACTAAAATCCGGGCATTATTGATTTTCCTGTCCAACTACCCACCGTTGCCGGGTCTGGTGACTAACGGGGTGTTCAGACAAAGTTATTTCGGCTCCCAGAGATATCTAGAGTGGGAGGTAAAATGGGATCGATGTACGTGGCACTCGGCACTGTTGTTACTGTTAATAAACATATTAATATTATTATTATCATCATCATCATCGTCGTCAGTATTTTTAATGATACCATAAATTGTATTAACGCATAGACGCTTAGTTAATAGTACTATAATAGTATTATGGCCTAGCGCTTGCTAATAATAGGTAATAATTGTCAGTTGTCACTTGTCGCCGCTTCTGTTAAATTTATTACGTTTCATGTTTTAAAATAATCCCGACGATCGACAGTAAACAAAGAAAACACCGTAACAAGCGGGCTTGAACTTTGAACTCTAAATATTATTAATATATTAATACTTATAATGTATTATTAAATTTTGATTATTGGCCGTATTCAGTATTAAGTGATAAGTATTTGCTTGTATTACTTATATCGTATTGCTGCTTGAATGTCTATTGATACTACTGTCTACTGCACAGTGCACTAGACGTTTTAGTAGGTACTTAATTACCAACTACCATTCAATAATATCGAGTACTCGGCCGTGGAACTCGCCTTGCTACAACCTGCTCGATCGAGTGTCAATATTGTTCGACGACTAACTCACAAATTACGTGTATTCTATTCGCTGTAATGAGTGATTATCTCCACCATCAAGGCATAGTTTTTACTAATCGTTAATCGACGCTAGACGCCACGATAATATACAATTGAGAACGCATGAGTTTTTTTTAAATTTTTTCCAACGTTGCCAAATGTAATCAATCGATAATATGAGCACAATAGTTTGTTGATATTTATTGGACTTTTATCGGATTAGCCGGATGTCAATAGTGACTTAGATACCAGATACGAGAGAATGATATAATAGTCAATTTTACAGTTCCCATTCAGCAATATTTATATAGTTATTAAAGTTCTAATTGAAACTCAAGCAAAAACAATATTGAAAATAAAAAAAAAAGAAATGACAAAAAAAAAACAATAGGATAAAATATTTAATATTCATAGTAAATATATATTATGGTATGTGGGAAATAAAAGTTCTAAAAATTTATTAAAATATTTAGTCTATTTAGAGTATGTTGGTTTACGCTATCCCGCTATAACTGATATATAGGTAATTAAGTTATCATTACAAAATATTATATTTATTTCATTTTTACAAATATATATTTCATAATTTTATAAGTTCTGCAAATTTTACATTTTTTATTTATATTATATATTACATATTATTAGGCGCTTATTTGTATACGATTATAATTATAATATATATAAATATAATATATTATAATATATATAACTTTTTTCAAGAATATTTATTTTATGTATACTAAGTTTTTCAAAAGCCAAAATATAAATGATATAGCAACGTTGCACGTAAATTAGTTCTCAATCGTATTGTTTTTGGGGGTTTTTTTGGGTCAGGGGTAAGGTTTTTGTTAATTTGAAGTGTTTTCAATCGTTCGGTCAAAAAGGTATAACGCTCTTAATTGTTCGATAGATAGACGCCAAATACAGTAAACTTCGATGGTGGGAGTACCACTTATTCCTGCGCCAACCATTTCCATTCACTTGTCTTCTCATTATACCGATTTACCTACTGCAGCGGTTCTCAACCCATGGGCCGCGAGAAACGTGCTACTGGGCCGTAAACCATATAGTATTAACATTACTAACATTACTAATTTGTATATTTAAAATAATATTATTATATTTTTTTTTTTTTTTTTTACACAGTTAACGCTATCGAACGTATGAATGTAGTTTTTGTATTATTAATACCAGGTATCTATTATACCTATATATATATATGTATATGCATACATTTGCGTTATTAGTGGGCTTCAACTATTTTTTTTCACAAAATTGGTAGTCCGCACAACTAAAAATGTTGAAAACCATTGAGTCGTATTGTACTCGGCCGTTACTTGCTGGCTCTACTGCCAGTTCCGAATCGACAGCAGCTAGCAACCAGCCTAGTGTGACTTACGCCTAAGTGTTTACATCGATCGAGTTTGTTTGTCTCGGCCGAATGCTCATCCTGTGTGAACTAGGCTTTAAATAAATTTTGTTTCCTACAGGTTTAGTTGATTGCTGGTTAATAGTTTATCTAATTAAAGATTTCAATAAAACAGGCGGTCGTACGAGCCACTACTATAATATAACTATTAACCTACCTACACATTATAACAATTTACAAGTGAAACGTTCTAATATATTATGTATTTTTTTATAATTGTTTTTTATTCGTTTTAAAATTGTATTTAATTATTAAATCATAGAAAATGTCCATTAGAATGGAAAATTAGTTGGAAGCTTAGAGTGTATTTTATTTTAATTTATACGTTTATAGCTATGGTTTTAAATTGAGTAGTTAGTTTTACAGAATATAGTTTGGTATTGTGAATAAAAAAAAATCGTATATACATGCTTATTAAATAATAGAATGACTGTAAGTTGTGTCTCAATTATTTTTACGTTAAAATTTAAAATTGTACTTATGTCACGAATTTTTAACTAAAAATGTCCTTCTTATATTATCAGACTAAGGGCTGTCAACATTATTGATACTATGGTTAAAAATATTAGTTTTAAAATTATTTATACATTTTATATTAATTATTATTATTTACATTTTAAATCACATATTTTAATTAATTTATTTATTATTACTTATAAGAATTATATTGAATAAAGTATACATTTTAATGAAAATTGCCTCACAAATTCAATTTAAGTAATTTTTTTAGTTTCCAATTCTTTCATTTTTTTTTTTAAATATATCCTTTTTCAATCATTATTCTATTTTGCGAGCCCTGACTTTGTAATTCTATTTAAGTATCAGTTTGTATATTTTTTAAAATATCTATAAAATTAAAAATATTTGGGTGAGATGAATCAAATGAATTATTTAATTTTCTATGATACGATTCGCAATTTGTTTGTCATGCGTAATGTTGACGATAAATATTCTGTTTAATTCACTATTCAAAACGTTCATTTTAAATAAAAAGACATTACTAACGTATTCGTGCACTTAAAATCTTATTGATGAAAAACATGATATGTTTGTTGTATGTTTACAGTTGTGATACAATAATAGTAAAAATAATATCGAATTTTCTGTCAGATGCAATTTACGTATATAGGTATGACAGAAACATGGGCCGCAACTTACGTATGTTATTATCGGGACGCAACTAACATTTACTGTAGCAATATGGTCCTAAATTAATAGGTATAGGTTATCTATTATGACCCATAATGTATTATAATTTTATGCAAAAAATAACAATTTTAATTATTTGGTTATAAATTTAAAAATTCTATTCACAAATATTTGATTCTTTTACGTATATTATTTTATATTCATGCAATGACATTTTTAAAGTATTTTAATATCGGTACTTTATGGTACCGACATAAAATTCATAAATTTTTTTTAGTGCTCATAATAAACGTTAAATATTAAAATGAAAATGATAAATTACAATACAATTATAATAATATTATTTGGTCGATGTGTCTACTGTCTACCATGTACAACGCATAAACGGTCATCACTCCTTTGTTTACATCTGCTGCAGCTGTCTTCAATTGTTTGCTACGCTTTATGATGCGTTCTACACATTGGTAGGAATGTCGATTTTATGGTGGCCAGTATCCTCTTAACACAATACGTTACTGTGCAGTTCACACAACACAGTATACTGCAGGTAATATTATTACTAGTGCACTAAATATTTCGCTTCGTGTATTATATTATATAATATTATTTTATAAAAGTCTGCTACCACATTATATTCTGAGCAGGCTCTTTACCATGTATTGCTATTATTGTGTATAAGTATTATAAACTTAGTATATTCTCATCCCATTATCAAAACGGTCATTTTATTTAATACCTATTATAAAACATACGCACTGTAGGTCCCATCACACGTTTAAATTAAAATAGATAGGTATACTTAATATAAAAGAAATACCTGTTATTTGTTAGTGATTTTATTTATTGTCAATACCAATAAAAGTTATGAATTACGATCTAATATTGAAAAGTAGGTATAATATAAGGTTATATAACAATACATTAACATTTATTTTATTTTATTCAAAATTTGAATATTTTAATTTTATTATAATATTAATACAATATGATATATTATTTATATTGTAACAATATATCCATATAGATAACATAATTAACTGATGTAATAAGTAATAACTCACCTTAGAAGGTAAGGTTTAAATATCTATAATGTATATTAGGTAAAGGTATTGTATTATTAAAGAAAAATTTACATTCACATTACGTTTAATTAACTCTTGGTAATGTTAAAATAAGAAAATAATATAGTTATATATACATGCGTTGCATGTATCTAAGTTTATAAGCAAGTTTATAATATGTAGATAATAGATATATGCATACCTTCATTATTTTGTGTATGAGTGTTGATATACGTATGAATTATGTGGTGTTTGTGTTTGCCTACGCTTCAATTTGTAGAAGTATTAAGTTTGCTGAGTTCTAGATTTTTACATTTTAAAAAGGAGTTACATGGTTTTCATCCTCTTAATATAATTTAGTAATGTTTTTAAGAAAGTTAAATATAATTACTAATATATAAATGAAATTGAATTATACGTTTTATCATGGTAAATAATAT